GTCTGGAATGAAAATGCACCGACATATAAGTAAAAATGAGCTAAGAAATATATTATGAGTAAATGTAAAAAAAAAAAAAAAAAAAAAAAATATCTTTCCACTGATGAATTGAAATTATTAGATAAAAGCCTTAACCACTTGCCTACCGGGCACTTATACCCCCTTCTTTACCAGGCCAATTTTCAGCTTTCAGCACTCTCGCACTTTGATTGACAATTGCGCCGGTTATGCAAGGTTGTACCCATTTGAAATTTTTATCATTTTGTTCTCACAAATAGAGCTTTCTTTTGGTGGTATTTACTCGTCGCTGGGTGTTTTACTTTTTGCGCTATAAACAAAAAAATTGCAAAAAATGTGAAAAAAAAAAAGTTTCTTTGTTTCTATTATAAAAAATTTGCAAACAGGTAATTTTTCTCCTTCACTGATGTGCGTTGATGAGGAAGCACTGATGGGCACTGATAGGCAGCACCAATGGGCACTGATAGGTAGCACTGAAGGGCACTGATAGACGGCACTAATAGGCAGCACTGAGGTGGCATGGATAGGCGGCACTGATAGGTGGCACTGAAGATGGGTACTGATAGACAGCACTGATAGATGGCACTGACTGGCATCACTGCTGGGCACTGCCTGGCGGCACTGCTAGGTATTGACTGGCAGCACTGTTAGGCATTGACTGGCGTAACTGCTGGGCATTGACTGGCACAACCGCTGGGCACTGACTGGTGGCACTGACTGGCAACACTGCTGGGCTGCACTCATGGGCACTGGTGGGTAGCACTGGTGGGCACAGGTGGGTGGCACTGCTGGGCACAGGTAGGTGGCACTGCTGGGCACAGGTAGGTGGCATAGCTGGGTGGCACTGGTGGGCACTGCTGGGCACAGGTGGTTGCACTGCTGGGCACAGGTGGTGCACTGCTGGGCACAAGTGGGCGGAACTGGTGGGTGGCACTGCTGGGCACCGATCATCAGGGCACTAATCATCAGTGCCGATCCCTGCTCTAGCAACTGCCGATTCTCGGCAGTACTTTCCTCATGATCTGACAGCGTGAGGAAAGTGCAGCCGAGAACCGGCAATTGCATTTCCCTGTGATCAGCGTGTCATTGGACACGGCTGATAACGTGGTAAAAGACCGCTGTGATTGGCCTTTTACCACATCACGTGATCAGCTGTGTCCGTAGGACACAACGATCACGGAGATCGCCAGGGGGCGCGCAGGAGAGTGCGTTCTGGGAGGACGTCATATGACGCCCTCCCAGAACTGGCCGGCCGCAGTGTAGTCGTTATTCAGCTATCTGCGGTCGGCAACTGGTTAAATACGCTCCAGCTAAACAAATGAATACATTTCAAGCCTTTAATCGCCAGACGATTACCAATTAAGAGACATTTCCTTAGCAATCCCATTACTCGAGATACTACTAACCATTTCTCTAATCTGAGTGATGCTTCTACATTTAATCCCCCTCCACAGACTAACTCTGCGGTTGGACTTTTTAAGGAACAGGTTTTAAAAGACTTGAATAACCTCGACATTAACCAATTCAATACCGGCCAATTTTACACCTTCCTGCCCAGGCCAGTTTTCAGGTTTCAGCGCTCTCACACTTGGAATGACAATTGCGCGGTCATACAACATTTGTACCCAAACTAAAATTTTATCATTTTCTTCACACAACTAGAGCTTTCTTTTGGTGGTATTTAATCACTGCTGGGGTTTTTATTTTTTGCTAAATTAACAAAAAAAGACCAAAAAGTTTGAAAAAAAAATACACGTTTTTCTTTGTTTCTATTCGACCATCTTGGCTGAAACGCATTGACCTTTTGCAGAGTATACACGAGTTCCGATTCTTGCTGTTTATACAGATCGTGTGGACGAAGCCATTTTTCAGGTTTCAGCGCTCCCACACTTTGAATAACAATTGCGCGGTCATACAACATTGTACCCAAACTAAAAATTTTATCATTTTCTTCACACAACTAGAGCTTTCTTTTGGTGGTATTTAATCACCACCGGGGTTTTTATTTTTTGCTAAATTAACAAAAAAAGACCGTAAATTTTGAAAAAAAACCAAGTTTTTCTTTGTTTCTGTTATAATAGTTTGCAAATAAATAATTGTTCATCATAAATTTAGGCCAAGATGTATTCTGCTACATGTCTTTGGTGAAAATAACCCAAATTAGGATGTATTTTTTTAGTTTGTAGGAAAGTTATAGAGTTCACAAACTATGGTATAGATCTGAATATTGATCAATCCTGAAGTACTGATGGCCAATCTAATTTCTTGAGGTCCAAGAATGTCAGAACAGTACAGATATCCCCCAAATGACCCCTTTTTGCAGAGTAGACAGTCCGACGTACTTCATAAGAGGCGTGGTGAGTTTTTTGAAGTTGTATTTTTTTTGTCATAATTTTTCGGAAAATGAAAAAATGCAAAAAATTATTTTCACTATTTTTTTTTTTTACATACTGTCACCAGTGCAGTACAGCGTCTTCATATAACTGGCATGGCGTTGATCAGGGACACTGACTGGTGACAGTATGGAAAAAAAAAAATATATTTTTTTTTATTTTTTATTACTTTTTTTTTTTTTTTTTTTTAATTTTTTTTTCATATGTCCAAAGCAGTACAATGTTACCATAATAACATTGTACTACTTTGGGGAACTGATCAGTGTCACGTCTCCACAGTCGCCGCCACCAACAGGCGACAATCGCACGACCGCGACTAACAGTAATACGTTAAGCCCACGGCATCAGACCCCAGACCTTCTCACCAAACTCGTGACCGAAGGACCGGCCGATCGAAAACCGTGGTGTGACGCGCGTAACAAGGCCACACTCAGCCACACCCAGCACAGTGATTGCCCAGCTAATGGACTACAATTGGTGCCTGCAGCCTAAATGCGCTTGTTACTGGGTCGGGTTAATTACGCAACTAACCCTCTACTGCCACCACCCCTTTTGTCGGAGACTGGGAAACTCCCGTTATCAAATATACACTATAATGATGGAAATATTGATCTATATAGCACGGCCCGCGGACCTGCTATACAGAGATATAACAAACAGTAGCGTCTCTTCAAAGGCAGGGATTCGTGAATTGCAAGTAAATGCTTAGAAACAGTTGAACAGTTTCAGAAAGAAAGGTTTATTACTGAAAGGGTCAAAACAGGTGCAATACAATATTTACAAAGAGATGTCACAAATATATAATAATATAATATATATATATATATATATGTATATAAAGACACAGCAAAGAGATAATTAGGAAGAAGATTACAGGGTTAAGTTACTTGCCCATATGCCTGGGTTTGCAGATCCAAGTTGTAGAGCAGGGTGAGTTCTTGATCTCCTTTTGTTACGATGTTGCTGGGAGGTCTCTGTGTGTGTCAAGCTCTAACTCACTTGTCTCTTCTTAAAAGTCCCTCTCAAAGGGGGGGCTCTGACTACACGTTTTGGGAGTGGTCAGTGGGAAACTCTGAATTAACTATAGCTTCATAATACATGACATGAAACATACAGTTGACCTGAGGAATGTGCAATTACTCTGGTCAGTTTGATAATGTGTGGGCTTACGCCATTTTAGGTCAATGCTTCCCAGCCCTCTGAGAAATGTGGCCTTATCAGACGTAGGTGAGAAAGGTAACAGTTTTCCCAGCCTGCTGGCCCCACCAGGAATGTTTCTCCTGGGCTGACCCCCACCATCTGTCAGGAGATAACGTTGGTCTCTCAGGACTGGAAAGGGGGGATGTGAGGAATGATCCAGGAATACCTCAAATAACAGAAGGAACAAGAAAAAGAAGAACTCCGCTTCCAGCTCTGATGGGCTAGTTTGTTACAATCAGTATTTTTTTTTTTTTAAACAATTTGCTTATAGCTAAGAATTACTTTGCTATAAGCAAGCATTTACCTGAATGACATCGATTCATTCAGGGTTTTTTTTTTTTTTTTTTTTTTTTTTGTGCTTAGCTGTGATTTGGCCACAGCTAATCACATGATGTGTGCATGTGATTAGCTGTGACCATTCACAGCTAGACACTAGTATACAATGGATGGCATGAATGAAGCCATCCATTGTATACAACTGTCATGTGACCTGCTGTGATTGGTCACAGCAGGTCACATGGTACCGGCAACGAGGCCGATACTCAGATCTGTCATCGGCCGTGTCCGAGATACACAGCCGGTGACAGATCGCGCCGCTGTGTGGCTCTGCAAGCGAGAAAAGTGCGCATGTGCAGGAGGACGCCATATGGCGTCCACCAGGAACCCTGATGACATTTGCCAGCCGCCATTCAGCCATAGGGTGGGCGGCAAATGGTTAAGAAAGCCTACTCAGACCCATGTATTAATGGGGCCGTTAAATCGCTCCTTGAAAAGAAGGACCTCATAGTCAACCAGCTGACTAAGGAGGTGGTTTGGTTATATTGAACAAGAAGGATTACATGGAGGAAGTTTATAATATTCTAGGTGATACCTCCACCTACTCACTATTGCCAAAAAATCCCTTGTTTAACCACTTGCCTACAGGGCACTTATACCCCCTTCCTGCCCAGGCCAATTTTCAGCTTTCAGCGCTGTTGCACTTTGCATGACAATTGCACGGTCATGCAACACTGTACCCATATGAAATTTTTATCATTTTTTTTGTGACAGATAGAGCTTTATTTTGGTGGTATTTGATCACCTCTGGGTTTTTTATTTTTTCTTAAACAAACCAAAAACCATTGAAAATTTTGAAAAAAAAAGTTTTTTCTTAGTTTTTGTTGTAAAATTTTGTAAATAAGTGATTTTTCTCCTTCACTGATGTGCGATAATGAGGCTGCAGTGATGGGCACTGATAGGTTGCACTGATAGGTGGCACTGATGGGCACTGATGAGGAGGCACTGGTAGGTGGCAATGATGGGCATTGACAGGCATCACTGATGGGCACTGAACGGCGGCACTGATATATGGCACTGATAGGTAGGGCACTGACTGGCACTGGTAGGCGGCACTGATGGGCACTGATAGGCGGCATTAATGCACACTGATAGGCAGCACTGACTGGCACTGATAGGTGGCACTGATTGGCAGCACTGATAGGTGGCACTGATTGGCATTGATAGGTGGCACTGAAAGGCATCTCAGATGGGCACTGACATGTGGCATTGATGTGCACTGGCAAGTGGCACTGTTCAGCACTGGCAGCTGGCACTGATGGCCACTGACAGGTGGCACTTCTGGGGCCACACTGATCATCAGGGCACACTGATCATCAGTGCTCTGATGATCAGTGTACATGTCCCCTCCGCGGAATGCAGATTACCGGCTCTCCTCTCGAGCTGTCAGCGTGAGGAGAGAAATGCCGATAACCGACATTTCCCTGTTTACATGTGATCAGCTGTGATTGGACACAGCTGATCACATGACCGAGCCGACATCTTCGGCTCTTTCCGTAGATCGGTGATCCGCTGTGTCCGAGGGTCACAGCGCACTGTTGATCGCCGCGCTGCGCGCTCCCTGAGCCGCGCATGCGTGGTGAGATAGGGAGGACGTCATATGACGTCCTCCCAGAACGAGAGAACCACCTTGCGTCCGTCATTGGACTATATGATGGGCAGGAGGTGGTTAATTACAAACGGTCCCTCCTGGCAGACCCATCATTAGTGGGATAAACTCAGTATGCTCTAGGATTGGTGCCTACATAGATCACTGTCTACAACCTCTTGTGACACAAATCCCTTCTTACCACCAAGCAGGTTCTAAATGCTGTTAAAGATATCATTACCACTCCCACCACATTTCTTGTTACTGCCAATGTAGCAGCACTATACAGTAACATGGACCATATTGAAGGGATGAGAGCAGCTGAGTTTTATCTCAAACATGAAAGCTCACTGTCTCCACCACATATTGACTTTATACTGGACCTATTAAACTTCGCCATGAGTAAAAACTATATGTGGTTTGATGACAAATTTTTCTTGCAGACCAAGGGTGTTGCTATGGGGGCTAAATTTGCCCCCAGCTTAGCAAACCTTTTTATGTCCTATTGGAAGGAGGATATTATTAATGCCATGGAGTGGCCTGAGTTAACTTTTTACAAGTGCTACATAAACGATGTTCTCTTACTTTGGAATGGGACCAAACAGTCTTTAATTAACTTCTTCGGCACATTAAAGAACAATAGTATTAACCTCTTGCCGCCACTGCATTAAAACGGTGGCAGGACGGCATGGCTGCGCAAAAGCACGTTTTTAAACGTGCTCCGCACTCCCGAGGTTTTTGGGGCAGGGGGGGCACGCACGCGCCCCCGCAGACCCGCGGCTGTCACCATTTGATCCCCGAGGGATCAATCATTCGGTTTCAGCCAGTGATGTCCAGCTGAAATTGGATGATCGGTCCCTGTCCTATCCTGTCCTGTGTTGACAGTTACACAGGACAGGGATATGATGTCATTCTTCTCTGCCTGGGCACATTCCGTCCCAGAGAGGGAAGAAGACACAGTAAAAGTGAGTAAAACATTACATATTTACAGTTAGAACACACCTAGGTCACATTTAACCCCCGGATCGCCCCCCCCCCCCCAGTTAACCCCTTCACTGCCCTGTCACCAGTGTCATTGATCATAGTGAACAGATTTTTACTGATCACTGTATTTGTGTCACTGGCGACTTCCGATAGTGTTAGCGTCAGTTAGCGCCCCTCCCAGATAGCACCAGTTTGCCCGCTAGTACACCAGTAATCCCATTTAACCCCTTGATCGCCCCCCCCCCCAGTTAACCCTTTCACTGCCCTGTCAACAGTGTCATTGATTACAGTGAACAGATTTTTTTTTTTATGAATAACATTTTATTAAATTTTCCACATGTATATACATACATGACATTTTAAAAAGAAATAAAGATAAAGAAAAACAAAGGAATCATTGATGCTAGTAACATGGGTAGAAAAATAACAGTATGCAATGACATTAGGGCAACATTGGAAGGATGATCAAGTCCGCACAAGTCAAGCAGGTTGACCAGAGGTGTAAACATCCCACGGGTTCCACACAGCTTCAAATGAGATTATAGAATCGGCATGTGAAGCGGTTAGATATTCCATTTTTCTGATATCTGCAATAATCTTAAATAATGTCAACATTGAGGGAGGTGTAGGGGAGAGCCAGCTCATTGGAATGCTTCTCCTGGCCGCCGTCAAAATATGCACAGAGAGTCTCCTCGATGGTCTAGAGAGACCTGGAAAGGGCAGGCCCAATAAAAAATAAAGAGGCTCAAAAGGGAGAGAGGAATGTAATACCAGTTGTAATAAGGCCAAAACCTCTTCCCAAAAGGGAGTGATAAGCCTACAGTCCCAAAAAATGTGAAAAAGGGAGCCGGTTTCCCTTCCGCAGCGCCAGCAAGCAGGAGAAGCACTCAGGTTACGAGAATGGAGCACATCAGGGGTTCGATACCACAACATTATGATTTTGTAAGCATTTTCCTTATAAACTACACACATAGAGGATTTGGATGCGTTCTCCCATATTTTCTTCCACTGCAACAAGTCAATGTCACAGCGGAGAAACTGGGACCACTTACGCATATAGCGATGGGTATCAATAGTTAAGGGAGGGACATCCAGCAGGAGCTTATATGTATTGGAGACTGTGCCCTTTTGATGTGGGCCCTGAATACACAGGCGCTCAAAGGGTGTAGGCTTCTGCAAAGTCAATGAGGGTGACAGGGTGGAGAAAAAATGGCGTATCTGCAAATAAACATAGAAGTGCTGAGGAGGTATTTGGGTATTTTTTTGGATGTCGGAAAATGATTTAAATTTCCGAGTTACGGGATGGACCAGATGACGCAGTTGGAAAAGATCGGCTGAGGCCCATGGGAGCATGCGGTGTAAGGACAAACTATCTGGAAGGGAGGGATTAAAGAGAACATTAGTCAGAGGGGAGCACTCGGAGGACAAAGCGAATTTAGCCCTGCATCTCTTCCAGATAGACAGGGAGAATTGCATGGGTCCAAGTAAAAGGTGTCGGTGAGAAGCGATGGCCACCGCTGACATATCCCAAAGCAGAGAGCATAAATGGGTCGGAGTAAGTTGTAAGGTTTCAATCTCAGTCCATTTGTTAGAAGGGCATCTGGTGGACCAGGAGATTAAAAAACGAAGGTGGGTGGCATAGTAATAGGTCACAATATCCGGTACTCCCAAGCCTCATCTAGAGCGTAAAGAAAGGAGTACAGTACGTGCAATTCTATGTTGTTTGTTGTGCCAAATAAAACGTAAGAGAGATTTTTGGATAGAATTTAGCTTGGACATAGGGATGGGGACGGGGAGAGTTGCAAATAGATACAAAAGTTTGGGCAGTACGGTCATTTTTATAACATTTATACGTCCAAGAAAGGAAATAGGTAGGGTGTCCCAAACTTTTAAGCAGTGAACAGATTTTTTACTGATCATTGTATTAGTGTCACTGGCGACTTCCGATAGTGTTAGCGTCAGCGCCCCTCCCAGATAGCGTCAAATTGCCGCTAGTACACAAGTAACAACATTTGACCCCTTGATTGCCAGGAACACGCTCATTTGCACGCTAAACCTCCATTGCTAGTATAGTGTCTGATTGGATCAATATCTTTGATCAGATCAGCACTATACCAGCGTTCACATTACTATAGTATCCTCAAAAATGCAGCGTTAGCGGGATCAGCCCCGACACCTGCCAGCACCTTCGTTTAGCCCCTACACACCCCCCCTTCTCCCCCAGCAAGTGCAGTGTCAGTAGATAACTGTCACTTGATACATTTATACACAAAACTGCAGTGTTCACAGAATCAGGCCTGATCTCTGTTAGCACTTGTCGGTAAATTTTTTGTAGTGGTTCAAGCAGTCCCTGACAGCCAGGTGCTCTTTTTCCCATGAGTCACACTAGGTACCTATAAATTTAGAGACCAAAATGGCTGTATAGCAAAAAATGGCATAAATTACAGTATCTATACCATAGTTTGTAGACACTATAACTTTCACACAAAGCAATCAATATACACTTTATTGGGATTTTTTTTACCAAAAACATGTAGCAGAATACATTTTGGCTTAAATTTATGACTAACTTTGAGTTTGAGTTTACGATATATTTTTTATAGCCAAAAGTAAAATATACAGGTTTTTTTTTTAATTTTTGTGTTTTTTTGGTTTATAGCGCAAAAACTAAAAAGCACACAGGTGATCAAATACCACCAAAAGAAAGCTCTATTTGTGTGAAAAAAGGACATAAATTTCATTTATGTACAGCATTGCATGACCGCGGAATTGTCAGCTAAACTAGTGCAGCGCTGTATAGCAAAAAAAGGAATAAATTACAGTATCTACAGTTGTGTCCAAAATTTATTCAACCCCCAATGCTGTAAAGGGGTTTAGGGACTATAGTGTACATTTGGAATTGTATTCAGAATCAAAATCCTACAAGGACGTTGTAACTACCCAAATGCAACTAAAATGACATCAATTGTTTATGTAATACAGTAGTAAATGGTTCTTATGTGGTTTCTTCATTGCCACAATTATTCAACCCCTTAAAGACTACCACTCTGAAGAACAGAGGTTCATACAGGTGCTTTCCATCAGGTATTGAAAACACCTGTGGATGTCACCGAGCAGCAATCAAGCATAATAAAGCACCAATTAGGCAGCTTTAAAATGACTGTGATACTCAGCTCCTTCTAGACATTTACTGGTGTGGTTACAAACATGGTGAAGGCAAGAGAATGGTCCAGGAAGACAAGAGAAGAGGTGATTTCTCTTCACAGGAAGGGCAATGCTATAAGAAGATTGCAAAGATGTTAAACATACCAAGAGACACCTTAGGAAGCATCATTCGCAAATTCAAGGCAAAGGGCACTGTTGAAACGCTACCTGGTCGTGGCAGAAAGAAGATGCTGACTTCGACTGCTGTGCGCTACCTGAAGCGTAGAGTGGAGAGAAGTCCCCGTGTGACTGCTGAGGAACTGAGAAAAGATTTGTCAGATGTGGGTACAGAAGTTTTCAGCCCAGACAATAAGACGCACACTGCGTAATGAAGGCCTCCGTGCCAGAACTCCCAGGCGTACCCCCTTGCTGTCTCCAAAGAATAAGAAGAGTCGACTGCAGTATGCCAAAAGCCATGTGGACAAACCACAAAAGTTGTGGGATAGTGTTCTGTGGACTGATGAAACAAAATTAGAACTGTTTGGGCCCATGGATCAACGCTATGTTTGGAGGAGGAAGAACAAGGCCTATGATGAAAAGAACACCTTGCCTACTGTGAAGCATGGTGGAGGGTCAATCATGCTTTGGGGCTGTTTTGCTTCTGCAGGTACAGGGAAGCTTCAGCGTGTGCAAGGTACCATGAATTCTCTTCAGTACCAGGAGATATTGGATGGAAACGTGATGCAGTCCGTCACACACCTGAGGCTTGGGAGACGTTGGACCTTTCAACAGGACAATGATCCCAAGCAT